ACAACCCGCCCACCGGCCGCACTCAATGTCAGAGGACAGGACAGTAGTCTATCCCTAGTGACTCTTCGAGTTGACCACACACATCACTAGGGAGCGATCTGCTGGTCTCCATAGACTGGGGAAAATGGTGGGCGTTCTGCCTTATATAGCACTGCGGGGGAGGGGTGCGGAGTTCCCGCCAAAATCCATTAAAGCTTTTATATTCTACCCAGCAACAGGCACTGCACAAGCGCAGCACTCATTATGTGTGACTGCACAGGTGACCACTCAAAGAATGACAGTTACAGGTAAGCAACCTGCCTTTTCAAAGTTGTAATTAAATTTGTTCAGGTAACTGTCACCTAGCACTGTAGTAAAACATTCCTCATATTTGCCATCATACTTATGGCAGTGAATTTGAAGAGGGGCATTATAACGATTGGGGTACATTAAATTATTCCAATTTGAGAGGTGCTCAGTAAATGGTAACTCTTTTTTTTCTGTTAGCAACAACAGAACCTCTCATTTAGAGGTGCCAGAATGTCACACAAAGTCATTCTGATCTGGTTTGAAATCTGGACTAATTGAACTCTGGTTTAAACATGCAGGGATTTTCCTCGATTACTTTAGAAACCATGATGTAGTAGGCATGAGTGCTCATTTTGTCATCTCCTGCTGCATACCAGCTTGAGCTCAGAGATCTTGCCTTAGAGTAAGCCAGATTTTCTTGTGAACGTCTGAAGCAGGAAATTCAGTTTTAAGGTTGGTCAAGAAACCAGAATCTTGTCTTGTTAAGTAATATTAAACTTTCTTGCTTTGAATGTAATGGGAAACCCTAGATTAATGCAAATCAGTGGTCTTCTGCTGAAGCAGGTACATAACTGAAGGAAGATGGGGGCAAGGGAGGAGGTTGAAAAAGCATTGTTATGAATGCATGAATAAATGTCCTAACATGTAGATCCATCAACCAAGCCATTCCGAGAAGCTTTAGATCTTCTCCCAAAAAAATGAGCAGGAATGGGAATATTCAAGGCCAAGGCTTATATTGACTAGGACATGGGTCCTCAAACTATGGCTCACGGGCCAGATCTGGCCTGCCATGCCCATTTATCCTGCCTGCCATAGAGGTTTCTTGCGTGCATGGCGAGACAGTGACTTGCTTGTGCGGAGGTCATTTTAGACTAGCTCGGAGAAAAGGATCTCCTTGTGAGCAAGCTGGAGCCTCTCTGTGTGCGTGCCCAGCGGCAGCTTGCTCGCAAGGAGATCCTTTTCTCTGAGCAAGTCCAAAACGATCTCCTTGTGAGCAAACCGGCACCTTTGCCTCGCCGCCCCCCCCCCCCCCCTCTGCCCTCCGCCCCAGCCCCCCCCCCACCTGCACTGCCTTGGTGGCCCGCACCCATTGCTGGCACCTTTCAACTGGCCCCCTGTTGAAAAAGTTTGAGGACCCCGGGACTAGGGCATGTAATAACAAACGGGCTTGCTCTGTATTGTCCTTGCTTTGTTTACATTATTTGAATACCTATTGTTTTGCTAATTATAAGTCCAGTTAGTCTTATTTAGAGAATAGAAAGCCACATCTGGTGGAGGCTGTACTGCTTGTGTCTTGAGGCAAGCAACTTGGAATAATGGGTGGTCTAGGCATCTGATGACTTTATGTTCCTGTTTAGAGACCTGCACTTGTAGCAAGTGATCTGTTGGAGAACTGATATTACATGCTGCCTGATTTGTGTCTCACAACAGCATTACACTTGTTTTAGACAGCAAGTGGTACCATAATGAAAGTATGTTACCAGTCACATAGTGGCATTCTTGATTTTACAGAATATTTGACAACAGGCTGTGATTCAATAGTAGAAAGTTGGTCGGTGTGTCAACTCTAGCTTTCAGTTGGTTTTGTTGGTAGGCATTTTGTATGTCAATTCAATGCTTTAGTTCTCAAAAAAAAATACCAACTGCTCTGTGATGCTTTTGTTATACTAAAAGTGGCATAGAAATTCATATGCCAGAAGCAGAACTATTTCATAGTATCAAGTTTGTTCTGTTGTAAATATACTAGCAGTGTCTGCGGAAGGGTTCTAGTTTGCATTTTCTTTTTTGCAAACATCTTGTTAAATTAGATAGTGAAGCAGTGACAATTAGAAGCTGAGATCTCTGCAAGAATTTTGGCAGAGTGTATAATTTAAAAGTGTGTGTTACATTTTTAAAATCTCTCTAGATAAATCTGTTCCAGGTTACTTCCTTTTCAATAACCAAGATGCAGCTTGTGCTCTCAGCTAAATTTACATGTAGAATGAAATAGGGTTTGGAGTACAAAAACATCTCAGAGCATTTGCACGCACAAGCTTTAAAAAAGAAACTAAAAACAAGCTTTAAAAAAGAAACACTTGGCATAGCTGCCATAGCTCATTCTTCTCATCCCATATGTTGTGAGCCACCCCGAGGCTTTGTTGTGATGGGGGCGGCATAGAAATGTAATTAATTAATTAATTAATTAATAAAATCCCTTCCATGCTAATTAGTAATAAGCTTTCATCCTAAATGCCATGAACCAGGAGTGCAAGATCCAGGAAGCAAACAGTCATTGGTATCTAACTTGGAAAGCTAGATAAAGCCTGAATTGCTGCAGTAGTAAAGGAAGTAAGTTTATTTTTACCTGAATCTTAAATCTTGTAATAAAAAGCACCTTTGCCTCACATTACTTGCTATGTGAAAACAAATGTTAGATTTTTCATATGAGAAGGAGAGCATTTAATAAACTGAGAAGAAATGATGTGAACAATAAATTTGGGGCATTTCAGCTTTTGTAAGGGAAGTACTTCTAAGAATCATGAGCTCATGTCATGGAATTGGGAAGCACACTTCCCTCAACCTACCTTCCAGGAATTCTCAAGGTACTTGTGTTGGGACTGATTTATAGTAGACAGCATTTAGTATAAACAATATGAACCATTTAGCTTGCCAGTAATTTTAATTTTTTCACCCTTCCTTGTACACATTGCTAAGAGTTTAACTGGTTACTTTAATAATTAGAGCATATTGATTCACAACTAAATAGAAACTATATATAATCTGAAGTGACGAGACAAACATGGCACTTGTATTATAAAATTTTGCAAACATATTAAGTATCATTTAGTTCAGGGGTTCATAACCGGTGGCCAGAAGACTGTATGTGATCCCCACCAGGGCTTTAACTGCAGGTTCCTGGATCCTATGACTGCCTTGCCACCAAATTCTCCTCCTCACAGCTTACTGTCAATTTTTCTGTTGCTACCAGTTATACAAATGGCTATTTGTAGTGAGAAAAAAGTGAGCTCTATGAGGGTCTTTGGCAGAGGGGAGTCTAAAACCTTTTGATTCAAGATTGAAGGGATGAGTGGGGGGGGGGGGGAGAAAAGGCTCACCAGTCCTCTAGGGACTATGATACGGATTGCTGTTTCCTCATTGCTAACAGCAGTGAAGAAAGTTAAATCTACAATAACCACTGGGGAATGTATACGTATGCATGCACATGACTGTGTGACCCACAGCACTAGAGCTGTCACACATGGGGTCCTCAGAGCCAAAAAGGTTGTGCAGTGCTGATTTAATCTAAGGCAAATACTTAGCTCCCATTCACCCTGTTTGAGAACAAGTCTTGGTAAGCAAAGCAGGACATGAATTAGACTGGGTTACAGTAAGGGTCTATGCACTTTCGAGAGGCAAGATAGTGTGCAAAATAATCTTTGAAAATATACCTTTCTGGTAAAGGTGCTTAAATAGATGGTTGCTGTGCAACTTTGGGTACTCTTAGATCAGGGGTGGACAATTAATTTTCCTATGGGGCCACACGAGAAACTTTGACAGTTGTTAAGGGCCGGACCAATACACCTACTGCTCTGCTCAATATATATCTCTATAAAAACAGTAATGAAACATTACAATGAAAATGTGGAGCACAGAACAACACTATTTAATGAATATTCACAAAAACATTAACATTACATGAAAAGCAATAAATTCAATTTAGCAGATCCTTCAAAATGCAGTGCAGTTGTATTGCTTGCATCTATATTATGATGATATATATTTGCATTGACTTTTAATTTGCCAGTGACCTCACGCGGGCCAGTCAGGGTCAACCATCGGGCCGGATGTGGCCCGTGGGCCGTACAATGCCCAGGTCTGTCTTAGATGAAAGTGATCATCTGGATTCATTTGTGTTTGCACATGGCTGGTGTGCATTTGTTTTGGTGGGGCACAAGTTGTGCAGATTTCACTTTCAGTGTAATTTATTTTATTGAAAAGGAAAAATAGACATGCTTTTTATAGGAAATAGATTAACATTCAGAAAGAGAAAACATTAAAATGGAAATGTGGTAGAAAAGATGTAGAGTGTGTAGATCCTTATAATGGGGCTTACAGTGCAATCTTGTGCAAGTGTACTCAGGAAGGTAAGTTCCATTGAGTTCACTGAAACTTACTGCGAAGTAATTCTATATAGAGTTGCAGTCTTAATTTACTTAGGTTGTAAACTAGATGTAAATGATCTGTGTAGTGCATAGATCTGGAAAATCTGTATCCCTTTGTGGTAAGTGTATGTATGCATGAATGCTTGTTTGTAAAGCATAGATAAAAACTGCTGTGTTCTTGTTAGCTCGCTCGCTCTCTCTCTCTCTCTCTCTCTCTCTCTCTCTCTCTCTCTCTCTCTCTCTGTGTGTGTGTGTGTGTGTGTGTGTGTGTGTGTGTGTGAAAATGCATAAGAATTGCCTTGCTAAATCAGATGAAGTCTTAGCATTATTTTTACATTTTCCTCCTCAGTTATAGTTACAATGCGAGAGTGAAATTTATATGTTATGGCAGTCATGATTACATGATAACAGATTCCTCATATTCCTTCAGAAAGATGATAGCTGTGGAGATTGTGAATACATACAATACAGTAGCATACTAGTTATTTCATATAATAGACTTTTGTTTATTTAATCCTTAATATGCACATTAAATTATTTCTTACTTAATGTATTTCTCTTCTTTCAAAGCTTCTCCACTGTTGCTATATGCAAATCGACGAGATTTACAATTGGTGGATGCTGCACAGATAAATGAGAATGCTACAGTTGTGGTGAGTGGCTTGGAAGATGCGGCTGCAGTGGACTTTGTCTTCATCCATGGCTTAATATACTGGAGTGATGTAAGTGAAGAAGCCATTAAGCGGACAGAATTCAACAAAACAGGGAGTGTACAAAATGTGGTTATTTCTGGTCTTTTGTCACCTGATGGGCTAGCTTGTGATTGGCTGGGCGAGAAACTATATTGGACAGATTCTGAAACAAACCGGATTGAAGTTTCCAATTTAGATGGAACTTTGCGAAAAGTTTTATTCTGGCAAGAATTGGATCAACCCAGAGCAATTGCCTTAGATCCTGCAAGAGGGTAAGTCTGTTATCTTTTTAAACTTGGGGGTGGGGGTGAGAGAAGAGGGTTCTTTTTCTAGTTTTGTAGAGAGATCTAGGGAAAGATTGTCAATCAAAACTGATTTATCTTTGTCTTAGCAGTTTGAAAGGTTATATTCCTGTTCTGCTGTAATGGTGCTTATGAGGTCAATCTTTGGCCGCAAAATAAACTTTTTCTGAATTTCTGCTAGTGTTCCACAAAGCTGTTCTGTTCAGTCAGTGACTGGAGCCAAGTGTGTTAGCATTCTTTCAGTTAATAGTTGTTAATAGCAACTTTTTCCTCTCCATTCTACCCTGCCCCTATATTTTCATGAGTATAAAAATCAATGCAAATGACAATGTATAGCATAACAGCAAAAAATTCTTAATCTAACTGTTAGAAACAAGATAAATATAAGTGTGTGTGTGTGTGTGTGTGTGTGTGTGTGTGTGTGTGTGTAAGATTGACAGCAATGTTTTTAAAACTTAGATTCAGAGTGAAATAATGGCGTGGTTCCTCAGGTAAGGTGAAAAGCTTCATCACTAATAATAGCAGGCATACTTTTGTTAAGGACAGCTTGCAAGGTGAATGAATTATACTGTGCATTGAACAAAACAGCTTTGGATTTATGTCTAGGGCAGACTTTCAATTTGCACGGAGTGATAGTGAGGCCCAGCAAGCTTTTGTGACGAGTTTAAGCTTCTTAGTATACATTCTCAGATTCTCTACTATGTGTAGGGATTCTTTGGCAAATGAGTAAAAAATGGAAAGTGTTCCCTGACAATGGCCTGGATGAAAGTTCCTCTTGTCTTATTTTTAATGAGCATGCTATTTACTGACGAAATATCTGTTTTGAGAGGTGGACTGAACATAGCTTCTTTGTGCCTGTTTGCAGGTGCATTCCTGTGTATTGGTATTAACACTAGCCCTTCTCCATATGGTTTTAACCACAACTTGTAAAAGCTAGTGTTGGCTACAAGTTTTAATGGATTCCATGAAATAGTCATTTTAAGTGCTACCAGTTTGTTAGTAACATTTACTGGGCTTTCCTCATTTTTTTTTCTCCTTCTATTTTCATCTTGTCATTCTAACACTGAAGTGAAATACCAATCTGGTTAAATCCCCAAAGAAAATATGGAATGGACCTTGCTGTGCATATACAGATGCTTGCAAAGCCAGTGTTCATAAATGGTCTGAACCTTGCAGCTTGTCCAGACCTTCCAAAAGGGTCCATAGCTTGCAATTTGTCTGAATTGGGCAGCATGCCTGCTGCTGAGGACTGGCACCCATGAGTACATCATGCTGGTCTTATGTAGGCTACATTGGCTGCTGGTAGCTGTCTGGGCCCAATTCAGAGTGCTTGCAGCAAGGGCTTGGGGCCAGGTTATCTGGGGGAGTGCCTTTTTCCATATGTACCAGTACAAAGCCACTCCTCAACTTAATGAAGTGAGTGAGGAGATTGCAAGGAAGAGGGTCTTTTCAACCATAGCATCCCAACTCTGGAATTCAATCCTATTTGGTTTGCACCAACTCTTCTTTCTTTTAGATGCCAACTTTTTTTGTTCATTGTTATCTTGATAGGTGAATTGTTTGATTTTTAATTATGATTATATACCATTAAATGTCACTGCCTTATGAATTTAGTAATTTATGCTAGATATTGATATTTGTTTTAATTGGTTTATGGGTTTTTTGTATCCCCTATGTATGGTATTTATTTTAATTATCCTATTTTACTTAATTTTAGTAGCTTTTACTTTTGGATATTTATTCTTTATTGGTTTTATTGTGAACTGTGGATTTTATTGTTCTATTGCATATTGTGTTGTACATTATGGATTTTATTGTGTTGTAAGCCTCCCAGAGAGCCTATGGCTAATGGAGCAGCATTTAATTGAATAAATAATGATCATGTTGAGGAATCATCATAATGTTAACTTGTTTCTGCATGTAATAGTACGATCATTTAAACATTATTTGAAAGCAAGCATCACATACCTAAATAGAGCATGCTTTCAGGTAAGCACATTAAAATATTGAGAATGGTTTATGCTTTGTATGGGCTATTCATTGTAGTTTCTGCATATTTCTTGTGCTGTAGTCCATTGTTTAACATTGCTACATTAACAGCTATGGAAATTTAAAATGTAAATTATTGCTGGAAGATTTAACCTTTTATATGCACTACCTCAGCTATTCTAAAATAACACTGTTTGCAATTAAAATTGCCAATTGGCTGGAAAATATAGGCTAGCAAGATTTTAAATGCCTGTTCCTTACCCTTGTGGTAATTGGCCATTCTGCTATAAGGAACATATAGAAATAGTGGGCTGGTTGTTATAGGTTTCTCTGAGGGCTACTCTAGGTTTATCTGAGGGATGTTTAAAGGTACATAAATTGTTTTTCAGAAGTTGGTAACCCTATACAGGACATAAATGTCTGACTTGAGAGGCCAGAAACCCCTCAGTTATTTATTTAGGGTATTTCTAGGCCACCCATCACTTTCGTCTCTGGACAGCTTACAATAAACTCTATTCAAAACAGCATACATATCCCAAACAATAATAAATTAGATATCCCATGACTGAAATATAAAATTAATTATTAATATAAGTTAAACAGATAAAATAATTATATTAATTAAAATATATTAACATTAAAATATTGGTTGAATAAAAAGGTCTTGGCCAGAAAAAGCATATAATGACGGTGCCAGATGGACCTCACTAAGAAGTGCATTTCATAGCCGGGCTGCCACCACAGAGAAAGCCCTCCTCCAAGTTTTCTGTCTTCTGATCTCCTTCAAGGGGGGTTCCTGGAGGAGGGCCTCTGCTGCGGATCTTAGGGGGCAGGAGGGCATATAGGAAAAAAGACATTCCTTGAGGTATCCTGGTCCCAAGACGTTTAGTGCTTTATAGGTCATAACCAGCACCTTAAATTGGGCCCAGACTTCATTGGGAAGCCCGTGGAGCTGATGGCAGACCAGAGTTATATGAGAGTAACAAACCAACAGGGACACACTCCATCTGTCACTCTCCCTGCATAGGTCATTGTACAGGGCAGCCAAGGCAGATTCAGTACCGTAACCGGGTCTGAAGCCAGACTGAAATGGATCCAGATAATCAGTTTCATCCAAGAGTGTTTGGAGTTGTCCCACCACCATCCTCTCCAGCACCTTGCCCAGAAATGGGATGTTGGCCACTGGTATATAATTGGTGGATACCTCTGGGTCCAGGGATGCCTTCTTTAGGACAGACCTGATCACTGGCTCCTTTAAAGGGGCAGGGATCTGGCCCTCCTTCAGTGAGACATTGATGACCTCCTGGATCCAGGTACCAATCCCGTGTTTGGCTTTAATAAGTAGCCATGAAGGGCAAGGGTTGAGTAAGCAGGTGGTTGGACATACCAGTCCAAGCATCTTATCCACATCATCAGACTGCATCAACTGAAATTCATCCAACAATGCTGGACCAGATGGGGCTCTGGACACCTCTCATGATGGAACCCTATCAACTGTGGAGTCCAGCTTGTGATGAATCTGAGCGATTTTCTCCTTAAAGTGCTGGGCAAAGTCGTCACAATGCGCTATCGATGGTGTCACAGGAGCACCAGCTTTATCAACCAGAAAATCCCCCAGAGCCCTCAGGAGCCCATCAGGATCCATCCGGCTCCCAGGGCGGACCATGTCAATGGGGTCCACACCCTTACAGAGGGAAAGGCCATCCCCGAGCTCAAACCTCATGAGGAAGTGATCTGACCATGACAAGGGAGTTTCTCACTTCCAGATCACCCTCTTCCTGCCCCATCGAAAAGATCAGGTCCAGAGTGTGACCCCCTCGTTCATGGGCTGGGCCAATGACATGTGGAGACAGCCCTGTGGCCGTCATGGAGGCCATGAAGCCCTGAGCTGCCCCGGTCAGAACAGTCTCGGCATGGAGATTGACGTTCCCCAGATCAACATTCTGGGGGTCCTCAACACCAGGTCCGAGATAATCTCCGTCAGCACAGGCAGTGAGCTGAATCCCTAATCTGTCTTGATCGCCCACCTCCAGGTACAAACACTCTAGGCCTGGTCTCAAGGAGATTGAAAGGCCCGTGATACAAAACTGTTTCGATCTTGAGGGCTGCATCTGGGACCAGAGGCTGCACATACATATTTGCACACTCCTTCCTCCATTCTATGCATACACAAACTCTCCACACACTTCCGTGCAAGTGGTACTCGTAAGTGGTGGAAAAGATTAAACTCATGGAATCTTACAGAGAGAGGAAGCACAGAGATTGTTAAGTACCATTGCAACACATATATTGATTCCAACAGCAATAGGATGCCTAGTTGCTTCTATACCCTAATTACACATAATTGCACAAGCAGGCTTAATTGGATGGTCAGGCAAATCAAATGAGGAGACTGGGGTTCTGGAAACCCATGTATGTCTTGGTGTCTTGCTCCTGTTTATCCCCTCCTGGGCTATACTTTCTTTAAACAGGCCAAATGTTCTAGTTGGTTGCACTTTTGAAATAATCTCATTTAATCAAGATTAGTTTTTTTGACATACCAGTTCAGCATTTATTTTGCCATGACAGGTAACTGACTCAGTTCTGCACTGACTCAGCTTAGATGGTATACAGTGTACGTCCGGTCATCCTTTTACTGGGTCTGTTTCGGTAATCATGGGCTTTTTTGCAGTTACATTTTTAGTAGCCTTTTTGCCATCATTAACTTCTTTAATATCATTAATTTTCTTGGTTCTACCAACTTCCCAATTTATTTGGTTTGTTGAAATACCTATATCTCTTCTGCTTTCTGTAAGAATATTGTGTAATAAGCAAGATCGTTAATCATCCACCCACACAAACCTGAGCAACACATGCAGTGGACATTCCTTGTATTGCCAAAGGCATCAATCTTTGTTTTGTCATTTTATATGCTGAGTTGTAAACTTTATCAGAGTTTCATAAATTCTTCTTTGTGGTCTCCATGCAAAACACACCAGTGG